CAAGTCAACGTGCAGCAGGATGCCTCTGGGCAGCTCCAGATCATCCCCGGCACGAACCAGCAGATCATCACGAGCCGAGCAGGGACGGGCAACCTCATTGCCATGCCCAACCTGCTGCAGCAGGCCGTCCCCATCCAGGGGGTGGGCTTGGCCAACAACACCCTCTCAGGGCAAACCCAGTACGTGGCCAACGTCCCTGTGGCTCTCAATGGCAACATCACCTTGCTGCCTGTCAACAGCGTGGCCGCCAGCCTGGCCCCCACCTCTCAGACCGTCACCCTGAGCGGCTCCGGCTCCCCGGACAGCAGCTCCCAGCCCACCACCTCAGGTGCTGCCATCAGCTCGTCCAACATTGCCACGTCCCACGCCAGTTCCGGCTCTTTTTTTACCAACGCCAACAGCTATTCCACCACCACTACCACCAGTAACATGGGCATCATGAATTTTTCCAGCAGTTCCACAGTGGGGACAAACGTCCAAGTGCAGACACCCCAAAGAGCCCCCAGCACGGACTCCCTGCAGAGCCAGGTCTCTGGGGTGGCTCTGCAGCCGGGGCAGCAGAAGGAGGGGGATCAGAGCCAGCAATCACAGCAGCAGCAGCAGCAGATCCTGATCCAGCCTCAGTTAGTCCAAGGGGGGCAAACGATCCAAGCCCTGCAGACCACCCCGCTCTCTGGCCAGACCTTTACCACTCAAGCCATCTCACAGGATGCCTTGCAGAACCTCCAGCTCCAGGCTGTGCCCAACTCCGGGCCGATCATCATCCGAACACCCACGGTGGGGCCGAACGGGCAGGTGAGCTGGCAGACCATCCAGCTCCAGAACCTGCAGGTGCAGAACCCCCAGGCGCAGACAATCACCTTGGCCCCCATGCAGGGAGTGTCGCTGGGGCAGACGGGCAGCACCAGCACCACGCTCACCCCCATCGCCTCCCTCCCCAGCGGCACGGTGACGGTCAACGCCGCCCAGCTCTCCTCTATGCCAGGCCTCCAGACTATTAACCTCAGTGCCTTGGGAGCGTCTGGAATCCAAGTGCACCAGCTGCCGGGGCTGCCGCTGGCCATCGCCAACGCTACCGGTAAGTGGGATGGGCTTGGTCCCCTCCCTGAGCCAGGTGGAGGAAATCAAAGGTGAAACCGTGGTGTCTGGGCCCAGCAATGTGCTGGTGGCACCGAGCTGGAGCCAGATCCGGGGGTAATCGATGTGGGATCCAGCTGGCAAGCAGCCTGGTGCTCGTGCCAGCCCTAGTGAGGAACAGTGAGCCTCTGCTGGTGGCCAAGTGACACCGAAAGCAGCTTTGGGGAGTTCTGGTTCTGGTGAGCTGTCTGCTGGCTGAGCAGATGCGAGTGGAGCACAGGGAGGAGGGAGATAGGGGACGCTGAGCAGGTCTAAGGGTGAAACAGCGCTGGCGGGAGGCTGAGCAGCGCCCTGGGAAGGGCACAGGGCTCGAGGGGGAGGGCAGGAAGAGCCACGACTGTGTGTAGGACGCAGAAAAAACGCAGCAAAAGGTCTTCAGCAACCCCCTCCCCCCCCCCTCCACAAAAACAAACAGCCCAGAAAACCCTGGGGAGCTGCTGCAGCAGCGGAAGCTCTTGCCGGGTGTGTTTGTGCTGAAGGGACGCCGTGTTCCCATTGCAGCCTGGGCTGCTCCCAGCGTCTGCCCCAAAACTGCCACGTGTGAGAAGGAATCGCTGCTGCACGGAGCTCCGCTCGCTGCTCACCGCTCGCTTTCCTTGTTTTCCTTGTTTGTAACGTTCTGGCTGCAGCTAAAAGGGCTGCTGCTGGATTTAGAGGCAGTGCAGGCATTGCTCAGCCCCGCTCGCTTCCTTCTCGCGAGAGGACGTGGCCGTTCGCCCGCGGTTGTTTTGCAGCAGTATTTTGGGCTGTTGCTACAGCAGCTCGGCTCGCAGGCATCCGCTGGGGTATTGCAGGCAGCGGTGTGGTCAGGATCTGCCTCATCCCCACAGCTCCATTGCTCCGAACCTCACGGGAGCAGTGTGGGCTCGGGGAGGGGCTGGGGATCCGTGGCATCGTGCTGCGTGCGTGCAGTGTTTGAAAACCACCACCAACACATGGGGGAATCCTGGTTCCTGTCTGTTGCGTGGCTCTGCCCTCAGAGGGAGGACCGCTCCCGAGACCACCCCCAGCTCCCCACCCACCCACCCTAGCTCCCCTCCGCCTCCTCCTCCCCCTCTTCTTTCCTTGTTTTTTTCCCAACTCTGCAGCGCGTTTTGCAGCCTCTTTGCACGCCCTGTCGCATTTGCTGCCTTGGAGCCGGGAGGATGCGACATCGAGGCAATGCTTTGATGTTGTGAGGTTGGATAAACGGGGCAGGCTTCAGGTTTCAAAGGGTTTGTGGGGACCTGAGGCCGCAGGGCTGAGCGCTGAGCAGCGCCGACCCGCCTGCGTGAGGTCCTGAAAGCTTTCTGCCCTGCTGCTGCTGCTCCCACGTGGCTGTGAGTCCGTCTGTCGTGTGCAGCCCATAGCGGAGAGGGGAGAGATCCCCTCAAGAAGAAAACAGCCTAAAAAGGGTTTTAAAGCACAGCTCCCGGTGCACTGCGCAGCTGTAGTTCAGGCCACGATTGTATTAATTAGCTGACGGCTGCCAATTAGCAGCAGAGAGGTGAGCTCTGTGGCTGTGATAGGATGGCATGCAGGCAAACAGGCCCCGGACCGGCTCAGCCCCTCCCCAAATCCTGCACAGTGCCTCCGTGCCACCGTGCCCCGGCCCACAGGGAGCTCTGAGGTGAAGAAAGGAGGTTTTGGGGGCTGCTGATGTTTCAGCATTCGGCTGCCTGTGCTCAGTGGGGTCACTGATGGTCACTGCAGTGCCAGGAGGGGACGTTCTGTGTCCCAGTGGTGTGATGGCTGCACCCAGCAGGGCTTTGGAGAAGTTTGTGATGCTGTGGTTTCGCTTCTGCCTTCTGACCTTCAGTCAAGGAGAGCAATTGGGGCGTCAGTGTCCCCCAGCTCTGGTGTTGGCTCAGCCACAAACACCCATCCCTGCCCCTCTGCAGCTTTGGTTGATGAGGAGAACTGCCTGGCTCTGGCATTTGTTGGTCAGTAGGCTGTGCTGGGGCAGTGCTGGAGCCCCCTGGCTTTGTGGCAGACAGCTGAGCGCTCATTTTCCTGCCCTGGGAAAAGCCCCCCAGCTATGGACACACATGGAGAGTGGCACCGAGGGCTCTTTTTTGGGCCAGTCACGCTGCCTTTGTGGCATGCTGGTCATGCTGAGGATGCCAGAATGTCCAGACTGGTGGGCGAAGATCCAAGGCTCGTGGGGAGCCTCATCCCTGCACTGCTGGGGGACATGGAGGGACATCGAGGGACACGGAGGGACATGGAGGGACTGACCCCACCGCAGTGAGTGCTCCCCAGCCCCATCCTCACTGCCTGCATCCACTCTGGACCCACTTATCACATCCCTGTGGCATTCAGGCTGTCCCCAGGCTCCAACCCTCGCTTGGATGAAGGCTCGTGGTCAAATCAAGGCATCGATTGGAGCCCCTTTGGGCCCCATGCTCTGAGCACATCCCCAGCTGTGTGCCCTGACTTCGTGTCTACCGTCGGCACAAAGCCCCGATTGTCTCCATTTTCTGTTTTTAAGGGCAGCTTTGTAGCATGGCCTTGATGATACATCCACATGGCATCATCTGCAGAGGGGAGGGGAGATTTGGAATGGATCTCTGGCCAGCAGGCCCTGACAGGCTCTCCCCTTCACGCGCTGTAATTGTTTGTTTCACTCCGCCCATGACATCACTGCAGAAAATAATTACTTTGTGAAATTTCCTCCTCTGAACTCCGCGGGGCTGGACCTGAAATACTCCCAGCTCCTTGGCTGCCCTCTCTTTCAGCTCTGCAGGGCGAAGCATGGTGTGACTTCAAGGCAGCACATGGGGCCCTCCCAGCACCGCTGTCAGCACAGCACAGCATGAGGACTGCGGGCAGCTCTGCCCTTCCTCCTCCTCCTCCTCGAGGCCACTGGGATGCTTTGCAGCACTGCTGGTCGGACTGGTTGGGTGTGCATAGCAGCACGCTGTGATTGTGTTGAAGTTTCCCCGCCCAGCTCAGCACTGCCCTCCCCTCCCCTTCAGTCTGCACAGCTCAGAGCTGCGTTTGGGACGCTGCGTCCCTGCTGGGTCTGAGATGTTACCAGTCCTCTTTGCAGAGGGCAGCAGTGCAGCACAGCTTCGGGGTCTGTAGGTACATTTTGCGTGTGGGGATTTCTCTGTCCGTTGTCCCCTGTTGGCTGTGCTCGGGCCCTCGTTGCCCATCACTGCAGGGTTTTCACTCAGCCCGGTGTGGTTCGGTTGGAACTGTCTGTGCCGCAGGGTTGGTGCTGCAGCAGCGGAGCTTTCCAGCACTGCAGGCACAATCTCAGCTTTGCAGCAATCCCAATGAAGAGCAGGGGGCAGAGGAGACGTGTGGGGATGGTTTTCAGTGTGAGCGAGGTAGCTGGCACAGCCTGGGGGTCACAGTGTGAGCACAGGAGGTGACGTCCCCGTGCACAACTGCGGGTGGTAGAGGCGGATGGGCGCAGACCTGCCAGCTCAGTGCCCATTTAGTGCTTCTCCGAAGGAAGTGTGATTAATGGTGACGCACGGAGACTTCCAACCATGGCAGGGGATCACAGAGCTCACCGTGTGGCTTTTCGAGTCATTAAACTGCAGAAGAAGTGGCAGTTTCTCAATGTGCTGCAGCCTGACTTCAAATCTGCACCGTCGCACGCAGCTGAGCAGTGTGTGTTCCCTGCACCCCTGTCTGTAACTCAGAGAACTCGGAAGAATTATTACTAAGACAGAGCTTGGCTCATTGACATCAATGGCTTCCACTCATTTTGCAAATTAGTGAGGAAATCAAACGAGATAGAAGTGGAGGGGCTGCATTATGACCCGCACTGTGCTCCTTGGTGCAGTGAGCGCAGTGTGATCCTCTGGGATGCGATTTGGGAGAGCAGCGGTCGGACAGAGCTCTCAGGCTGCCAAAAATAGAGAAAGAATGAAGGCAAGGAGGAGGAAATGGGACGAGGCGCAGCGTTGTTGGGCGCTGGGAAGGTTTGGTGCTGTGTTCTGTGCGTGGCTCACACTGTGCTGTCGGGTTTGGGGCTTCGCTGCCCTTGTTTTGTGCCTGAAGCCGTCCTGTTGTCTCTGTGCTCTGCTGGAAGCTGAAGCTCTGTGCTGCACAGCGCCGATTTCTTTCCCTTCTTCCTCTCCTGCTCAGCACAGCTGTGGCTGCCAGCGCTGCTGTTTGCACAAGAAGCTGTTTCTTTCCAGCTCCTTCCCGGGAATGAACGTCGCTCCTGTCCCCTCTGGAGGTCACCCGGGGTGGCTCTGAGCAGCCCCGTCTCCCATCCGCAGAGCATTTCTCACCTCGGTCCAGTTTGCTAAATAAAACCAGCGGGTCTGAGCTTTGAGCAGCTGGAAGACAAGCAGCACTTTGTCTGCAGTGCAGCCGCCAGCCCAGAGCCCAAAGCTTTGGGCTTTTAATGGCAGAGCAGCGGGGAGGGCAGGGCCAGGAGGTCCCTGTGCCACCTCCCACCCCATCCTCTCACAGTGCATCCCCCCCTGCTTTCTGCTCTCCGTGTGTTTGTTCAGGATTCCGTTGACCTGAGCGTGGACCAGGGACTTGGCAGCAGCATAAAAGCTTTAGTCTTAGAAGCAATCTATATTAGTGCAGATAATAAACATAAATTATCCAGCTGGTTTCTCTCCACCACGTTCTCCTCTGAAGCTGCAATATTCTGGAGGCTTCGGCGCGTCCTGAGATGTGAAGGATGAAGCGTGCACGTACACGATCTGTCTTCTCCTGCCGTAATTTATTTATACCTTAATTAGATGCGAGCCATAGATTACCAGAAGGAAGCCTTGGGTTTTTTCCCCTCCGTGTGACGTGCCAGGAGCCCGCAAAGCACTGCGTGGGCTTTTGCCTGTTGGAAGGTTGAAGCGGTTCCAAGGTACCGGTGTGGGATCCTCTCTTCCCCAACGTATTTTTGGGGGGAGACCCAAAAATGTCTTCCCATCCTGTTTGCTGCAGCCCTCCCTCCCAGGATGGCGCAGACGCAGCAGGGAAATCTCTAATCTGGGAGCTGCAAGCTGTCGGCTTAGGAAGCTTAAAAACAAAACCACTTCGGTTCCTCCTGTGCTGCTTTTAGCCTGTAAACATATGTTGTAAGAGCTGGGGGGCACTGGGAAGGGTTTGTGCTGAATTTACTGGATGTTGTGGGGAGTGTAGCAGTGGTGCTGCCAAAGGGCCTGGCCTGCATCTGCAAACCTGGTAGCAATTCGGAGAGATGCTCGCTGCCCTCCTTGTGCCCAGCACTGAGCAGCAGGACCTGGTTTGCATCCAGCAGCCTTCCTCCATTCCGGTGTGAGTACAGCCAGGGCAGTGCCTTTAGGGAAAAAAAGCCTTTGTAGCTGTGGTTGTGGCATGGAGGAGCCCCGCAGAAGGGTTTGGGGGTTTCTGCGTGGAGCCCAGGCTTCAGCCTCTCCAAGATTCACTGGAAGCTGCGAAGATCTTCTGCCAGTTCCTGGAAATGGCAAAAAGAGGAAAGTTGTGTGCCGCAGCCGTGGGACAGAGGGGAGCAGCCTGGGATGTGCACAGCTCTGGGCAGCCCATCCTCCAATCCTCAGCCCCACTGCTGTGGGGTCAGGATGTGGGCACAGCTCTCACCTGATGGGTGACACCTGGATGGAGCTCCACTCTCCTGCTGTGGATCCTTCTATGCTGCGACAGCAGCAGTGGCTGAGTGAGTCAGGGCTCATTTCCTTGATTGCAGCCCTTCTGCTTCCTGTAGTGTCTTCGTCCCCTGCAGCAGAAGTTCTGCTCTTTCTGTTCCCCTTTCCGTGGAAATCCGCAGAGCAGCTCGTTTTGAGCCTCGTTAAGCATCCTTGTGTGATGAAGAGGGTGAGACCGGAGCTCTTCCTCCCGCCGGATGCTGGTTGTGCAGGAGAAGGAAGCCAAGAGCTGATGTGTTCACTGTGTCACATCCATGGAAGCTGCCCCAGTCTCTTTTTGGTGATTTTTCATCTTCCTGAGGCACCACTGACACCTGCTGGTAACAGAGCTGCTGAGCACGGCCAGAACCTCTCCCAGAACATCTCCATCATTTTCCCTCTGCCCTCTGGGATTGGAAGCTCCTTCCAGGCTGCAGAATTGCTCCCAGCCTGCAGTTAGTAAACGTTCCAGGCCGACAGAACCCGCAGTGGATCCCACCTGAGGTGCTCACTGTGCTGCCTGTTCCCACAGCACGGAAAACCAGATTCTTAAAGCAAACGCTGCTGCTTTGCTGGAGGTATTTCTGCAGGTAGTGGGAAGCAGAGTTGGGGTGAGTCCTTTTTTGTGTCCTGTGTGATGTAGAGCAAATCACTGACATGATGTCCCTTTTAGCCCTGCTGGCCATGCTCTGTGCCTCCCAGGGAACCATTGGCCTTCCTGGCCACCAGGGCACACTGCTGGCCCGTGGTCACCCTGTTGGCTGCCAGGACCCCCAGATCCATTCTGCAGAGCTCCTTTCCAGCAGCTCAGCCCCTGACCTGCACTGATGTGTGTTTGCTCATCCCCATGTGTAGGACCCCACACTTGGCCATGCTGAACCTCATTGGGTTCTTCTCTGCCTGTCCAGGTTTCTCTTCCCACCTTCGCATCATCTTACAGACCTCCTTATCTCAGAAGATTGGTAGGAAGAGGTGAATTTGGGGCTGGGATCACCACAAGATGAGGCCCATCACCATCATCATGTCTCAGCCCTAAATCTGCCGTCAGCCCCATTAGCATATGTTAATTGCTGCTGAAAAGAGATTACTCAGCCTGCCGGCGCAGCTCTCCGGCATGAAAACCATCAAGCAGCGGAGCTGGAAGGGAAATAAAACACTTGTGAAGTGTAGCTGGGGTTATTGGAGAAGCAATTAGATGACAGCATAAGCTGCAGAGCAATAAAACGGCAATGAAAACTGATAGGCTTGAAAACTTCCTCGCCCTTCACCCCCCCCGTTACAAATGGTTTATGTTTGTCTGCCTTTGAGAGCTCAGCACTGCTATTCCTATGGCTCATAATTGGGAATTGCTCCTCCGGGGGGGGGGGGAGAATATGTCCCACCTGCAGTGCCAGATGATTTTTCAACTTTATATGTGCATCCCTTTTTGTAATTGCAGTAATTAAGCAGGAGCTGGAGCTGATAACATCTCTGCCAATCGGTGGTGTTCTGGGCTGTGTTATTTATTGCTGCCTTTTTGGGGGCTTTTGGCACCAGGCATCACATCTGCTTTACTGATTTGCTCCCGGGTTGGGATTAAAGCAGAGAGATGCTTGGGAGGGGCAGGCTGCCCCGAAATGGAGGGGAAAAGGGGACTTTTAGGGGAAGAGAACCAGAAAAGGTCATTTTTGGAGCTGTCAGCAGGAAGAGGAGAGGGAAAACAGCCCTGACTGTTGGAGGTGTGAATGTGGGAATGAGGAAATGCCAGCAGCAGGCCTTGCTGGGGAGGCAGGGCTCCCCTCGGTGGTGTGTTGATGCTTTCCTTATCACTGACACTGTTTGGAGCTGCCTGGTGCTGCTGGGTTTACATTTTTTTGCTTTTCTGCGCTAGAAATAGCTGAGATAATTGGCAGGTGGTGAGAGTTATGTTGGAGGTTGGGTTTTGCTGAGAAGTGCAGCTCTGAGCTCTGATCTGGACACCATTGGTGGGCACAGAGCACTGGGGGCTGGAGGAGAGGCTGGAGGTGGGATTCCCAGGGATGGAAAACTATGAAAAGCTGAGAGAGGAAGCCGGGATTAATCACATCCTGGGACTCGGTCAGGCTGTCAGCATTGCAGTGGGCACGGGGACACCTCTCAGTCCCCTTTTCCTCCTTGTGGACTCCATCCCAAACCCTGTTCTGCTTTCCAGGGGAGCATGGTGCCCAGCTGGGGCTGCACGGTGCCAGCGGGGACGGTCTGGGTGACGACAGCGCAGCGGTGGAGGAAGGGGAGACCAGCCCAGACCCACAGCCCCAGCAGGGCCGGAAGGTGCGGAGGGAAGCCTGCACCTGTCCCTACTGCAAGGACAGCGAGGGGAGGTAAGGCTGCGTGCGTGGCAGCTGCTGCTGCCGGGCTCTGCTTCCCTGCCAGAGCTGCGTTTTGGGATGTATTTCACGGGCATGGATGGAACCTGGCTATTTGTCACCCGTGTGGTGTTTGGGTTTTGTTGGGTGGGGATGGGAATGGGGCAAACGCCGGCGAACAAAGCGCGTTCTTCAGCTTATAACTCCCACCCTCGCGCTCTTCTAGGAGCTCTGGGGATCCAGGTAAAAAAAAGCAGCACATCTGCCACATCCCAGGCTGCGGGAAGGTGTATGGCAAGACCTCCCACCTGCGGGCCCACCTGCGGTGGCACACGGGGGAGCGACCCTTCATCTGCGGGTGGATGCTGTGCGGGAAGCGCTTCACCCGCTCCGATGAGCTGCAGAGGCACAAGCGCACGCACACGGGTAAGGCCTGGGGTGGGGGGCGGTGTGGGGGGCACGGTGCTGTTGGGAGGGGAGCACGGTGCTGCTGGGGAGCCCATCTGGGGAGCTCGGAGCTCTCCTTTGGGCTTTCTGTTGGGGAGAGGGGAAATAAAAGGAGAAAAAGTGGAAGGGGAACTGTTCCGTGATCTTTAAGGACACAACTTCAAGCCCTTCTATGATTTTTCAGGACCCTCCCAACCCAAGCCATTCTATAATCTTTCAGGTCCCTTCCAACCCAACCATTCCATGGTTCTGTGACCTTTAAGGACCTGTCCAGCCCAACCATTCCATAGTTCAGTTATCTTTCAGGACCCTTCCAACCCACCCATTCCGTGGTTCTGTGACCTTTCAGGACCCTTCCAACCCACCCATTCCATGGTTCTATGACCTTTCAGGACCCTTCCAACCCAACCATTCCATGGTTCTGTGATCTTTCAGGACCCTTCCAACCCAACCATTCCACTGTTCTGTGATCTTTCAGGACCCTTCCAACCCAACCATCCCATGGTTCTGTGACCTTTCAGGACCCTTCCAACCCAACCATTCCACGGTTCTGTGACCTTTATGGACCCTTCCAACCCAACCATTCCATGGTTCTGTGACCTTTAAGGACCCTTCCAACCCACCCATTCCATGGTTCTGTGACCTTTCAGGACCCTTCCAACCCACCCATTCCATGGTTCTGTGACCTTTAAGGACCCTTCCAACCCAACCATCCCACGGTTCGGTGATTTCTTTTAGGACCCTTCCAACCCAACCATTCCATGGTTCTGTGATCTTTCAGGACCCTTCCAACCCAACCATCCCATAGTTCTGTGACCTTTAAGTCCCTTCCAACCCAACCATGCTCCCATTCTGCAATTCTCTCTCTCTCTTCTCTTCCAGGGGAGAAGAAATTCGCCTGCCCGGAGTGCCCCAAGCGCTTCATGCGCAGCGACCACCTCTCCAAGCACATCAAGACCCACCAGAACAAGAAAGGCGGCGCGGCCAACAGCGTGGCCATGAACGTCTCCGCCGTCCCCATGGACACGGGGGCACCGTCGGAAGGCAGCGGCGGACCCACGCCGTCGGCCCTCATCGCCACCAACATGGTAGCCATGGAAGCCATCTGCCCTGACGGCATCGCCCGCTTGGCCAGCAGCGGCATCAACGTCATGCAGGTGGCCGACCTGCAGTCCATCAACATCAGCGGGAACGGCTTCTGAAGGCTTGGGGGATGCAGTGGGGCAGCAATGGGGCGAGCGGAACCGAATCCCACCCTCCTCCCCCCCCCAGCATGGGGCGGCCACAGCGCTGCACCGCCCGGGGCATCGCAGCCCCCCCCCAGCACCTGCAGGCTGCAGCATCACACGAAGGCCAGAGCTTGTCTGTATTTTTTAATTTCGGCTTCACCTTATTATTATTATTATTATTATTACCCCCCTTCCCCTCCCTGCAGACCCCCACCTCCCCCTTTTTTCCCCCAACCCTCGAAATCCGCCCGCCCCCCTCCGGAGCTGCAGCCTTCGATGCCATCATGCCTTGGTGAGAGGAAAAAACAAAAAGCAGAAAAAAAGTATGCTATCATTGGAATACTTTTTAGGAAAAAAAAAACAAAAAAACAAAAACGAAAAAAAAAAAAAAAAAAAAAAAAAAAAAAAAAGAGGGGAAAAAAAAAAAAAGATTCTATATTATTATTATATATATAAAAATATAAAATGTGTTCGTTGGAGAGAGGAGAGGTTCCTCTTTGCTGCCTTATCTCAGTGCCCACCCCGGGGGCGGTTCGGACCTTCGGTCGCATTTGATGCTGTTTGACACAGAGAGGAGAAAGAAACCCAACCAATCCCCCCCCCCCCAGCCCCAAATCTTTGCTTCCTTTTGCTTTTAGGGTTTTTCCTTTCTTTGTCATTATTTGGGTGAGGTTTTGCTTTCCCCTCCCCTCCGCTTTGTGCTCTGAGCCCTCCTGCCTGCTGCCCCCCTCCCCACCCCCAATGGGACTGCTGGGATTTTCCCCTACGAGGCAGCAGAAATGGGTGTCAGAAATTGGGGATGTTATGGGAAGGCTCCATT